GACACCCCCCCCCCCCCCCATTATTGTGTTAAATGAGGAAAGCATTGAATAGACATTACAAAAAGTAGCTTTAGAAAGAAACATTTTGATTCATCATAGAAGTTATTACACATAAACCTTTAAGGCTATAATGTGACCATAACATTGTTTTCAGAAGCTGCATCTGAAGTGGCATTTACGTGTATGAATATTCATGAATTAGATTTGCAGAAATAATGCTATGAGATTAATAGGTTTTAAATGGGCATTAATGGGTTTTAAAAAAAAATTATACTGAAATATGAAAAATTAAATGATACTAAATATGAATCTAAAACTGCCAGTTGGAGGTGGCAAGTTGCTATATTAATGAGTGAGTCATTCAATCAAGTGTTTTTGTTCAAACCACTGATTCATTCAGAAATGAATTAAATTGACCATCTTTATGAACGAGTCACTGAGTCATTGACTCACTTGATTTGTTCAAATGGCTGATTCATTCATAAATTAAGCAAGGGATTGTCTTTATGAACGAATCACTGTATCATTGGCTTGCTTGATTCACTGAAACTGCTGATTTGTTCAGAAAAGAAGCAAGTGATTGTCTTTAAGAACGAGTCACTAAATAATTACCTTGCTTAATTCGTTCAAACCACTGATTCATTCAGAAATAAACTAAGTTGACCGTCTTTATGAACGAGCCACTGAATCACTGACTCACTCGATCTGTTCAAAACCATCAAAAATCACCACTTGGAGATGCTCTGGCTTTAAAGAGGTCATATGATGCTTTTTTAAAGATCATTATATTGTGTATTTGGTGTAACAGAATATGTTGACATGCTTTAATGTTCAAAAAACACATTATTCTTCAAATATTGTACATTATTGTAGGTCCTCTATGCCCCGCCTCTCTCAAACGTTTCGTTTTCTACAAAGTCCCTCCTTCCAACAAGCGCAGTCTGCTCTGATTGGCCAGCTGACCCAGTGCATTGTGATTGGCCGAACACCGCAAGCACTCGTCGGAAATGTAACGCCCCTTACCATAATCACCAGCTTCATCTTTCAAAATAAATGTAAAGACAGCCCGAAAGGTGAACAGAGTCCCGTGACAGTCACAGTGATGAAGCTGGTATGTGTTTGTGATGTGACCCTCTCTCTTTCTCTCTCTCTCTCACACACACACACACACGATGCGCAAAACTCTGCATTTGAACAGTCAATAGCAAATACTTAAACTAATAACAAAA